GTTGGATAAATGCCCAGGAGAGGGATTGCTGGGTCATAGGGAAGCTCAATGTTTAGTCCTCTGAGAAACCTGTAAGTAGGACAATATTTAACAAAAATGCAAACGTATACTATGAAATCCATAAAATATTATGGAAATAAATGAATGAGTGGGAGGACAACTCATGTTCTTGTATTATAAGACTTAGTTTTGTTAAGATAACTACCTCCCAAATTTATATGCATATTCAGTGTTCTTGACAGTGTATAAGAAAATCACAGCTGTCTTCTTTGTAGAGATTAAAAATTAATTGTAGAATAAAATAAAGCATCATTGAACCCAAATAGAAAAATGATCTTGAAAATGAAGAACAAAATTCAAAGACAACAAAGTTATCATAAGGTCACTATTAAAGTAATCAATGCAGAATTGTGTAGGCCTAAGAATACACATTAATAGAATAAAGTATGACTCAAAAATAATTTTACAGACTATCAACTTTATACTGTTTTTCAGAGTACTAAAAAGAACCAAGAGGTAAAAAATGTCTTTTTCAAAAATTGTATAGGAACAACTGCATATCCCCACACAACAGATTTAAGAAAATATTAACTTTGAAGTGTCTTGTGTTGATACATGTCTGTGTATCCAAGGTTATAGTTTCTACATAATGGACCTGGATGTGCAATCAGACAGTGGGGCTATACATGTATATGGATTTGCACACACATTAACTATTAGTCTTTACTCAATGTTCAAACAGCATGTCATATGTTTAGGAAATCATTTATAATGAAAAAGAAGAGAAAATGGAGGCTCTGAGAATTTTTGTAGGTCAGAATTTTTGTAGGTCATTCTTCCTATGGAGCCCTCAACTTTAACATAGCTTCACACTCTGAAAACTATAGTTAAGCTAAGGCTGTAGCTCATCTGACATTCCACCTCCTTTTTTCCAGAATGAGGGCAAGATCTTACAGGAGGCCTTCAAACCAAAGTCCTAAAAGGAGGCCTCATATGTCATTTTCCTCTTCATTCACAGACATCTATTATGTCTCATAATTCAAAAGCCATACCTACAACTGGGGTTGGAGCCCTTGATCACCAGGAAGCTAACTTGTAGGCCAGTGAACATCACTTCCCTAAGGGCAAACAATGCTGTGTGTTTTCTTTACGGATGTTGCCTGTTTGTTCTGACAGCTGGCACAATGGGAGCTTCACAAAAGTCATCTCCTGGCTAATGAGGGCTGTAGAGAAGGGAAGAAAGGTGCAGGTTCACATATGTTACTGCTCATTTCCAATCATTTGAGTGTTTTCTTAGACCATACATACCATAATCCTTTCAGAGATTTGCTCTCAGGTAGAAGGGAAACGAGCCTTTTCACAGTGCTTTCACCTGCCGTCCTACCCACCATCCCATCACTGCCCCTTCCTGAAGGTGTTGTAAGGGCATACCCTTAGCACCCTCAGGTTGAGGGGCAGTTAGCCTCTGCCCAGTGCATCCCCCACAGAGTTGGCATCACCATGTCCACCAAAGGATCTTTGACCATCTATTTTCAAATCTGTGTCACAACAGTGACACAGATTGTCACTCTGTAGTCAGTTTTTTTTTGGGGGGGGGGCTTTTCATAATGACTAGCAATGAACAGTTCTGAATTTCAGGCAGGCATCAAGCAGGATATCTACACAATTTTTTCCACACTTTTGTAATGCTTGCACTTAGACAAAAAGCAGACATCACATCTGAAATTAAAGTAATAGCCACATAAACTTTTCAGGTTATAATTCTATGAATGATGCCACAGATGAGGTTCCACCAACTGGAAAATAATGCCTATATATATGATTTCCTACTTATTGCTAGTTTTCAAGTAATTTACATTTACATTACAGAGGCAGATGATGAAGTGTGAATTTCTGAAAAATAAATACTGATATGGAATCAACATTTCCATCACATAAAGAATAATATCAACTTTGTTGTTCTGGGTATAGCTTCCATCACCAGAGATAAACTTGTGTAACTGTCTAAGCTTTAGTCTTCTCATGTAGGAAATGCAGTGCACACTATACACTTCTTAGCCTCATTGTGAAGAATGGAAACAATCCTACATGGGATTGGGCAAGCATAGCATCAGGCTCAATTTAGACACTGAGCTACCTGAGTATCCCTTTGAGAAGGGACTATGGAACCCATGGCAAAGTCTCCTGCTTCTTCTCTCCATTATCTGCAGCCACTTTCCCTAGAAGTTCTGGCACAATCTTAGATGTCCCATCTTCATTCCCTATGTATGTTTGTGCCTTGACAAATATTTGCAAATGACCTGTATAGACTACAGTGTACCAGTTTACGCTCCCTCTAACAATATGTAAGAATGCATCATTCCAATCTTTTGTACAACTTTTTGCTCTTTGCCAGTCTGATTGATGAGAAATATATATTGCTATACTTACAATTTATATTATGTGACTGGTGAAATTAAATATTTTCTTTTATATTTAAGAAAGTTTGGTATGGGTTATGAACTATATTCATATGTTTGCCTATTTATTTACTGGATTGTTGATCATTAGTTTTTTGTTTATTAATATTAGGGCTTTATTATATATTAAGGAATTTAGTGAAACATAATGATAAACATGAATAGAATGCAGAAAAGTAAAGAATCACTAATATTGAGTCCAAATTAAATGTATTCCCCAATATATTTGTTACAATATATGACATTAAGATTATTAATGCTTTTTTTGAAAAGCAAAATTTTTGTTTCCTTCCTCCACAGCATTTCTTTATTTCTTTGTGACTGACTCTAGACTAAGCCCTGGGGTTACAGGACACACACACACACACACACACACACACACACACACACACACACAGAGATTAGCATTGATCTGAAAGTAAGAAATTGTTTCATGGATAAAATTATTCTAGATGTATACTAATTATTGCAAATGAGGGAAACCATAGGACCTATATTTCTTTGGGTCTGGCTTATTTCAGTTAATAGGAATTTTTCCAAGTCTTTCCATTTCCTAACAAATAGGGTGGTACCATTCTTTCTGATAGAAGCTTAGAATTCCATTGTATATATACCATATTTTCTTGTTTCATTCATTTACTGAGGGGCATCTGGGTTGGTTCCATATCTTGGCTATGGTGAATAATGCTGCAATAAACATAGTTGTGCTGGTAGCTTTAGTATGGCCTTGTTTGTGATCATTTGGTAAATGCCCAGAAGTGGGATTGCTGGGTCATAGGGGAGCTCTATGTGGAGTCTTTTGAGGAACCTCCATACTGCTTTCCAGAGTGGTTGAACAAGTTTACACTCCCACCAACAGTGCAGTAGGATTCCCTTCTGGCCACATCCCCTCCAGCATCTGTTATTAGATTTCTTGATTATAGCCATTCTAACTTGAGTGAGGTGGAATCTCAATGTTGTTTTGATTCACATTTCTTTTATGGCCAGAGAAGTTGATGAGATAAGCAGAAAAGCTCAAAATCTATGTACAAATGACCATATAAAATGATGCTAAGTGAAATGAACCCCAAGATATGGACACAAGAGCTCTTTCTTTGTTGTTATTTTTAATGTACTATGTGATTTTTTTTTGTTTCCTTTGTATGTTCTTCCCCCTATGGTATATCCGCTGTTGTCACTGTACTTGATTTTGGTACTTTGCATCTTGTATATACATTTGTCTAATTTGGGGAGGGGAAGGGGAATTACAAAATTCTGAAACTAGGACACAGGATGACCCATTGCAACAATGATACCCACAACACAGTATATTGGAAATGAACTTTACAACTTGGGGGAGGGGTGAGGGAGCTAAAGGAGGGAAGGGATAATGAGAGAACTAACAAGGGAAGGGGTAACAATGCTAGACAAGAAATGTATTCATTGCCTTGCTCATGTAAATGTAACCCCTCTGTACAGCATCTTTACAATAAAAAAAAGGAACTGGTTTCATGGAATTCTCATGACTCAGTGGTTCACACATTGACTAATCAGTCTATCATGTGCTGAGTACAGATTGGTAGAAAAGAGGAAATTAACAGTCTAACTTAAGCTACCAATCATTACAGAAAGACAGAACTAGTATACTGGGAGAATATATTTCATTAGGTAGAGTGAAAGTCTTAGAGGGAAGGTGAAGTTGAAATGCACAGTTGAGATCAGCCTTGAGGAAGGACATGGGAAGTGGTGGTAGCTTTTCCTGACAGAAAAATGGAAGATGAGACAGGATATGGCCTAACTGGATAATTGCAAGAACAGTATAATAACCAAATACCTTGCCGTTTTGAATGGGGAAAAATTGGTGTGGCAGAAAGAATCACACTTGGCACAGACCAGTTGCTAAGTTCCTAAAAGAGGAGGTTGAGATTGACTTTCCTTTGGGAGAAGAGCAATAGGTCTATGGAAATAGGCAAGAGGAGCAGAAAAAGACCAAGAGGAAAAGGTCAGAGCAGCTTGCCAGATACCCTGCCACAACCCCACATATTTTATGAAGAAAAGTCAGTGCTTGAAAGGGCAGTATAGAGGGTTTCTCTTGCAGTTGGCACAGAATAGTACATATTTTAGTAGATTAGTCTTCAGTCTTTCTTAACATTCCTACTGCAGCCCCTCTCACAGCCCATGCAGTTTGGAGCGCTGTCAAGTTTGGACCGGTGAATCTGTAAACACTAAGACTCTCATACCTGTTCACCTTGTAAGGCTACAGCCCAAAACAAGTACTTTTTTCAGTACGGAAAGACATGGTAAGATTGGTGGGTTGGGGTAGGGGAAGCTTCTAAACGAGCTGAGCTAATATCCGCGACACTTGACTATTGGGTCTGCTGCTTTGCGTTGAACTGCGTTTTCCCAAAGTCTGCAGGCATCTGTCTTAGACTGCACCAAAAACCTGCAAAGTGGGCGGGACGAAGACCTCTGACACAGCGAAAAGTGACGCTAGGCAAAACCCAGTATCACTCCGCTTCCTGAAGCCGGATCCCCTTAAACTACACTCTAGCTCCTCCCGCTGCCGGATTTTGGTAATGGGAACAGAGTAGACCGTATTCTGCAGAGGACAAGGTAGATGCTAGTTACTAAGTGTGGGTTCCTGTGGGTTCCTGGGAACCGGAAAGAGAAGACAGTACCGAGAAATGATGTCATTTATGGCCTTTTGCCTTTTGTCTGAAAAAGCAAGTATCTCGTTCTAACTTCTAGGTTCCAGGCTGACCCCCAAAACACAGTCGCCGCCATTGTTTTGGGTCCTTGTGTCGGTCAGTTCCCCCTTATATATGGCATGGCACTCCTTGAGACAAGGAAATAAGAAAACTGCTTCTGATCCAAGGCGAGCAGGTTAGTGAGAAGGCGGGCATCGCTTGGGGGTATGAATGTGAATTTGGAAATGAATGCTGTGGGCTTGGGAGGCAGGTGGTGAAAGCGAGGGAGGGATTGATGCACCGGGAATCATAAAAGGATATGCCTCTTTATTAGCTGCGTTTCCAGAAAGTCGCCCCACTTTAGACGAAGGTTGGGAAGGGGAAGGAGATAGGGAAGGGGTGTACTAGCGTTTTCCAACAGGAAAATGGATGATGATGAAGAAAAAAAATGGGTTGTTGCTGCTGAAGAGGACAGTGATGGGGGGGGGGTCGTTGGAAACGTGCGTAACCAAAGCCCTGGTTTAAAACAGGCTTTCAACTCCAGGGTACTAATCTATTATTAATCACACCCCTCACTGTCTTTCTCATTTGATCTTTAGGTGCATGTCATACATTCATTTAGCTGTGTAGATCCGTTCCGGTTTGCAGCACTTTAAATTTCTGTAATGACCACTAGGGGGCAGAAAACCTTAAGAGGAGGGAACAGGATAAAAAGAGTCTAGTGTCTGCAGAGTGGGCAGCCCTTGAATATGGTAAATGGGAGAGTACTAGAGCAGATAAGGATATGGGATAATCTCCAGATTGCCTCTTTGTCAGCTTTCCAGAAATGTCTTTCCTGAAGTCCCAGCTTGTTGCAGAAAATCGACGGGCTTTGGGGGAGAAAAGGAAAAAAAAAACAAGAAATTTGGAAATAAGCTTTTTACTGTTTTTTCCAGTCTCTTATAGTTTGTCTGTTCATTTCATCCCCACTAAGCCTAGTGCTCTTGCAAGGATGCTTGAGTTGCTTCTTCATGGAAATTGTTAGACTTTAAGAATGAAGTAGAAGGGTTTGGAGATTTGGGAGTGGAAAAAGAGAAGTAGACAATGTTGGGCAAAGAAGTACTTGTATCCTGAAGCATTTATGCCCCAGGTGCGATTCTTTTCCAAGATCTCAGTGTTCCTGGTACGTACCCTGCTTCTCCCATTTTTAGTTTGTGTGTTTGTTCATATTTGTGGACCTGTCCCTAAGTCTCTAGAAATGACTTTTTGTGAAGGTTTGAACAAATATCATAACTTGGAGTTAGGAAGTCATGAAGAGAAATTGAACTATATCTATTAATGTTGGTGTATGGGTACAGGGACAGTAATGACTGAGATTTGAAAATTTCATCTCTTCTGTTTTGCCAGCTTATTGGTGACTCTAGCTTGTCCTCCTCTTGACAATTTAGTTGGTAATTTGTTATGCTTTGGATGTACACAATGGAAAAACCTACCTTTTCCCTTTCCGTCTTAGTTATCATACTCTTATGTGTCATTGTAATCTGATTCTGAACTACAGAAATATCAGAACAATCATTGAAGAAGAAAATAGTGAGGAGTAAGAAAGGAGGAACAGCTTTGAAGCCAAGCAATTGGGGGAGGGGACCAGATGGAGGGAAACATTAGATAAATGGTACTTGGAAAGGCAAGAATATGCACCTGCAATCTTAGTTACTTGGGAGGCTTAGATCTGAAGAATGTGGTTCAAAGAAAAAAAACGCACGTTTAAGACTAATGTCCAACTAACCAAGAGAAAACTGGAAGTAGAGCTGTGGCTCAAGTGGTAGAGTGCCAGCCTTAAGTGAAAAAGCTGAGAAACAGTGTGCAAGTGCTGAATTCAAGCCCCAGTACCAGCACACAAAAGGAAAAATATGGGTCAGAGACCATGATCTGTTACAAAAGTCAGTTTCTATAGCTTCTTCTTTGCTTATTTTTCCATAGGTCTGCCTGAAGGTCTTATCATCATTGGAAGCAAGGAAAAGAGAAAATTACTCTGAGTCAGTGAAGGTTGGTATGAATTTGGAAACTGCTTGGGTAGATTGGTGGCATGGATTAGTAGAGCTGTGTTTCACTCCAGTAGGAATCATGATCCAGCAAATTCTCAGTCTCTCTCACTTCCATCTCACACGCCTGTCCTCCAGGAACTTATTTGATGTCTGGTAGTGAGAGATGTGGAGAGTGAGAGGTGTGGAGAGTGGAGGAAATAAGAGAGATGGTTTGTTAAGTGTACTTCTTTCATGTAGCACTGAATTTCCATACTTTCCTATAAATGTGCCAATTACCATGAGGAGAAAAACTTTGGAAGAGACTTAAAGCCCAATTTCCTTCCTCCACCCCTAGGTCCAACTTCAGTGGCAGATCTGGTGGCCTGGGAGTGGCTGAAGACCACCGTCCTCCACCGGGCTGTGCCCAGGCACAGCCATCCTTCTTTACCTTGAGTGAGCTTCCTCAGCATATTGTCTATATTGTTGGCAGAACTTGTAGTTGTAAAGGGGGCTGAGTGACTGCTGGACTTTGTGTGGAAACACCAACTTGGGACAGACCTTCAGTGGTAGGGCATATAACTTGGTCATACCTTTAACTTGGACCATGATTGGTTCTACAGCCAGTGCAAGGGCTGCAGAAGAGGCTGAGATTGACCTGAAACTTGAAATCAGTAGCCCTGACTATACTAAAGTGAAAGCTATGACTCAGGCCAAGACAGCACTTGAGGCAGAACCAACAATAGAATTAGTGACCCACACCAAGATTTGTGATGGAACAATGGCTATGACACAAACAGTGACCTACACTCAGCCTGTGGCTGTGACAATTGAAGTGAGCCAAGTGGAAGATGTGACTAATATTCGAGTTGTGACTGAGACTTCATCTGATGTAATGCCTCAAACCAAGTCAATGGTCATACCTATGTCTAAGGCCAATGTCAATTCTGAAACCAAATCTGAAATCAAGGTTGATGCTGGCAAAGAGGCAAAAGCTAATGATAAAGCTGATACTGATTGTATATCTAACATAGAGGAAGAAGCCAGCATCCAATCTGAGACCAAGGACACAGGTAGTGTTGTCCTCAGATCCACCGATGAAGATGAAGAAAATGTCTGCTCCTGGTTTTGGACTGGGGAAGAACCTAGTGTAGGGTCCTGGTTTTGGCCTAAAGAAGATACCCCTCTTCAAGTTTATAAGCCCCCACTTAAAATTCAGGAAGAGCCCAAGCCTACACCCGAACCTGTCCTTACCCTAAAACAAAAAGCAGCAGCATGGGCAAGGGCCAGGTATGTTGTCCTAGCCCCAGTTGATGCACGGAAAAAATCTACGCCTCCAAAAGGGAACTGGACCCTGGTTGCCACCTTGATTGAAACTCCTCTGGGTATTCGGCCTCTGACCAAGATCCCACCTTATGATGGACCTTACTATCAGACCTTAGCTGAGATAAAAGAACAGGTTAAGCAAAAGGAAAACTATGGGCCTAGTCCAAAGAACTGCCGCTGTAATCCACGTGGCTTTAGTTTAGAGCCTGAGGAGTTTGATAAACTTGTTGATTTACTTAAGCTAACTACTGATCCTTTCATTCATGAAATAGCTACAATGATAATGGGCGTCAGTCGTGCTTACCCATTTACCCAAGATATAATTCATGATGTTGGTATAACTGTTATGATTGAAAACTTGGTCAATAATCCCCAAGTTGAAGAACATTCTAAAGCTTTAGCTATAATAAGTGAGAACCCTGAGCCTTTAGAAGAAGCTAACATAGATGGGCCCTATATAAGAGAAATTTGTAAAGAAATAAATGCTAATTCTTTGAACTCCCAGTTGCAACTGACTGCTCTAAAATTATTGGTGGGCACAAGTATGAGGTTTGAGAATCACCATTTGATTGCCAGTCACATTCCAGATTTCCTTATATTGTTAAACAAAGGAAGTTTCAGAATCAAGTTTTATGCTTTAAGATTACTTTATTGCTTATCTAAAAATCAAGCCAATGTAAGAGAAATGATCACTGGTGATGTACTGTCAACTTTGGTTACATTCTTTAATAAGAATGAGTCAAAGGTCAATATTCTTAATACTCTTCAAATACTTGAAAATATAAATTTCCATTTCAAGAAAAGGGCAAAGCTGTTTACCAAGGAAGAGTTCACTAAATCTGAACTTATTTCCATATTCCAGGAAGCAAAATTGCTTGGTCAGAAACTCCAAGACTTAGCAGAGAACAGTGATCCTGAGGTGAGAGATAAAGTTATACGATTAATACTCAAACTCTGAATAGCTATTTGTTCTTCCAAAGCCTTGAGCAATATTTTTGGTGTTGCAATATGAATTCAGTGCATATTATAAACTGAATGCTTATGTTCTCTGTTGATTGAAGGAGAATTTTGTGGATAACAATCTTAACAGCTTGAATATTTGTTGGATTTTATTGTGCTATATAATATAAATTGAGGTATTTTAGTATTTATGCAATGTGACCTGATATTAATATTTATGCAATGTGACCCATTCATCTTGAGCAAGCTATGCTTCTGTGCTTTATATTGGTACAAATATATTATTTTGAGGTTTCATTTACATGCTCTTAATAAAGTTGCACGCTAAAACTGGTGAAAACATTGTCCTAGTTCTTCAGTTGAAATGCAGACAGAGAGATAAATTACTAGCAACATAAAGATAGTGAAGAGCTTTGTCTTGTCAGTTTCTCTGTGTGTGGGGGCACAAACAGAATGGAATCGCGTTGGGAGATTGTATAGTTTCAACATGTTCAAGAATGAGAATCAGTCTGTAAGCAAGAAGATAAGACTTTGCTACTAGCAGTCTGTAGGCTCCAAGGATAGCGCTTCAATGGAGAGCAAGTGGAGAATAAGCCCTATATGGGCATCTCTGGGAAAGTGGATGAGGACAGACTTTGGAGGAGTGGAACATAGATGCTTTTTAATTGCAATCTGAATCCAAGAATTTGTGCCTTTCACATAGGATGCGTCATCAGGATTTGGTGAAGCTCTTGGACACCCCCAAGAGGATTCCTGGCTCTCACCTCTGTTCAGTAAAACCATGGACATCTGTGGAAAATGTGGTTTTAAAGGGACCCAACCTTACTCTGCCCTCATTAACTCCCTCACTGCCATGGGGCATCAGATTTATTACTTTCTTTAAGGTTCTTGGGCTTCAGAGTAGTGTCTCAGGACCACTTACAGGAACTGCTTCATACATAGTCACATCCATCCTACTTTAATGACTGTTGACTCTTATCCTTAGTTTTGTTCTCTGGCCAATGCTGTGGGCTTGGTGATTTGCACCTCTTCTTTTTTTTTTCTTTTGGCAATATTGGGATTTGAACTACTTGTGATCTCTCGGCTTGCTTACTTGCTCAGCTGGCACTCTACAGCTTGAACCTCACCTCCAGCCTTGCTTTTCACTGTTTTTATTTTTTGAGATGGAATCTCACAGACTTTTCTACTTGGACTGGCTTTAAATCTGAATCGTCTGGATCTCAGCCTCCTCTGTGTAGTTAGGATTAAAAGCATGAGCCCCTGACGTGTGGTTTTACTTATTCTTGATGTTCATCTTTTGTTTGTGCTGATCCTTGGTCAGAGTACAGCTCGTTGTGTGACATACCCACAAGCTAACAAAGTCCTTTAGAAGTGTGTAGTTGGGAGGAAATTAATTCTCCTATTTACACTATCTCACTTATTTTCATAGTTTATAGAGTTGAAGCCTTGTTGCTTGTACCACCTGAGACTTTCCTGTTTAAATTCAACAAAAGCTGGGCTCTGGGCAGGGGTTTGTAAGCAAAGAATGACAGAGTATAGACATGATCTGGGATTACCTCTGCTTCTCCTACCCCCAAACTCCTTTGTTGTTATAATCCTCTTTATTTTACTGGCCAGAATCAGGAATGATGTATATTAGGATCCATGTAAAAATACTGATCTTTCCTTTGATTTTACTCTGCTTTTTGTTCATTTGAGAGAAGGCTTAAACTGAAAATAGCAATGTTATGAAATATACCTTTAGTGTTAACAGCTCTCTGTAGTTTAATTTTTATTAAAGACAAGCGTAAACCTAGCTTTCATACATCTAGGAACAAAACTGGAAGGCTGTTCATCACTGTGGTATATTAAGATGGGGAAAATGCAGAATAGTTTATTTTTCAATGAGACATTTCAATTTAGATGATTTTTGAAGTTCTTTATAACTTTTTTTAATCCACAGAAATCCCTTAGCCTATAATACCAGCTGTGAGTACTTCTCTCAGTATTGGAGATCTTCACAATACAGTTGGACCAAACCTTTTGGAAATATTCTGTGTCTCAAATACCCTGTGGAGTACACTCTTAATCAGTTGATGGCTATGGAATTTTCCAATATCAGCTAAAGAGAAGGGTGAGTGTGGGATGTGTATACATTTGTGTCAAAGCAGGACATTGATGGTCCCTCTTTGGGTGGTAATTGCAAGAGGCAAAATCATCTCCCATTGTTCCGAGCATATCATCTGTTATGTGCACTTACATTGTTTTGACCTTTTGGAGTGGAGCTGATGGACTATGTGATAATTCTGTGTTCAGCTTTTTGAGGTATTGCCAAACTTTTCCATAGTGGCTGCACCATTTCACATCCTTGTTAGCAATATGCAGTTGTTTCCACTTATCTAAGCCATTGATCACACTTACTTTCTAGTAAATATAAAATTTCTTTTTAAATTCATACATAAAAACATAAAGTTGTACATTTTAATTATATACCATGCATTTTGATATATAGACTTGGCTTGTACTGTGCAAATCCGGTTAAACATATCCATGTCCTAAAACACGTATCATATATTTATATGAAAATTTTACTTTTTGAGCTTTTAAACTGCACAGGACATTGTAATGTATGATTACCCCACTGTGCAGTAGCACACTAGAATTTCTTAAACCTACTGAAACTTAGTACCTGTTCATCAACCTCTCTCTACCTGTCCCTGGTGTCTAGTAACAACCATTCTCTTCTGGACTTCTGTGAGATCAGCTTTTAGATTCAACATGTGAGCAAAATAATATGGGAGTTGTCTTTTTATACATGGCTTATTTCACTTACAACAATGATCTCCAGTCTTACTCATGTTGTTACAAATGACATAAACTCATTCTATTTGTGGTTGAACTATATTCTATTTTGTATTTGAGCCACATTTTCTTTATCTTCACTTTTTGGACACATAAGTTGTTCTACTTCTTGACTATCAAAAATAGTTGCTCTAGTGAACACAAAAGTGAAATTCTCTTTAACATACTGATTTCTCTATTGGATGTATACCCTGTAGTGGGATTGCTTGTAGTTCTATTTTTAATTTTTTTGAGGAACCACTGTGTTTAACAAGGGCTGTACCAATTTACATTCCTATGAACAGAGGGCAAAGATTTTATTTCTTCTACAGTCCCAGTAGCACTTGATATTTTTAGTCTTTTTAATAATAGCCATTATCATTTGGGTAAGGAAATGTGCTTTTGATTTGCAGTTCCCTAAGTATTAGGGATGTTCAGAACTTTTTTTCTGTACCTATTGGCCATGTGTGTCTATCTTTTCTTTTAGTGTGTGTCTGTTGACCATTGTTAACTTGGATATTCATAGAGTTTCCCATTGAGTGTTTGGAATTAATAATGTATTCTGGATATCAACCCCTTGTCAGATGTGTGCATTGGAAATATTTTCTCTTATTCTGTAGCTTGTCTGTAGTTATTTCATTTGCTATGCTAAGGAAATTTTTGTTTTTATCTATTTTTGTTTTTATTTCTGTGCTTTTGAAATTTTGTCCAAAAAAAGAACCTTTCTCCATTCCAATATATTAAAGCATTTTTCTGTTTTTTTTCTAGCAGTTTTATAGTTTTAAGTCTTACATATAATTCTTTAACATATTTACAGTTACTTTCTGTAACCAGTGCCAGGTAATATTTTAGTAAGCAATGAGAGATTCTTCTGTATGTGACAGGAGTACAGAACCTCTGGTCTAGAAAATTATTTGGTATATGACAGAACAGGCACATGCTTCTTTTTTGGCTGCTTATGGCCATGTACCTATATCAATAATTCTGATTCCTTGAGAATGGATATTATAAAGATGTTGCAAATATTCAAATGGTCCTTGGCAGAATTTTCCCCATTCTTAGGGATATCTAATTTTCTCAGCGTTGTTTTTTTTTAAATTTTTTAATATTTATTTTTTTATTGTGAAAATACTGTACAGAGGAGTTACAATTACATGGGCAAGATAATGAGTACATTTCTTATCAAGCATTGTAGCCTCCTCCTTTGTTTCCCCTTCC